CCCCAAAACCCCAAAACCCCAAAACCCCAAAACCCCTTTTTTATCATGTTAAATTGAAATTTTTTTATCATAATGGCTACAACTATTGATAAACAACAAATTGGCAGTTTTAATACAACCAGGCCATTGACAGGCGGAAGTTATAATAAAGGAATTTTCTCTGAGATACAAGCAAAGATTGACAGATACTCTCTTTTGCAGACAGATCTTGGGTTAAAGATATAGGTAAGCCATCCTAAATATTCTATGTGTCATCATGCATTCGCATTATTTATGGTAAAATATCCGCAGAAATTTTCCATGAAGCTCTGATGATCAAAAATAGGCAGATAAGTAACGATTTTAGGCGCGATATTTGGCTTGGAAACTCTTTAGTATCTCAATGTCCCCTCTTGTTGGTTTTTAGCTTCCGTAATCTATGATTTTGATAAAGTTTGCAAGGGATGACGATATAATTTAGAAAGCAATTTTGGCTATTTCTAAATCGTCTCAGCGATTATCTCAGAATCTTTGTAAACAATTAAGTTCTACCTCAAAAGTTCTCATAAAATGAGGGTATCTGTAGAGTCATGACTAGGAGAGCTTAAAGGATTAGACCAAATTTGAGGATATTATTAACATTTTCTCCATTTGAATGCTCTTAATATGTTTTATAGTAACCAATAGCTTGGAGGAAACCATTGCAAGAGTGACCCATGAACTTATCCAGTATTGATGAGAAAGGAAAAATACTCTTGAAGAAGAAAGTTCTAAGGTCTCAAATAGTAAAGACCGAAGCAGGCGATGATTGACTAAAGCTAGAGGACATACCTCAAGGTTGAGCAGAAGTAGTAACCTGACGAATAGTGGTACGTTTATATTCCTCTGTTAGACTTAGTTAGAAGCTTAACTTTAATTTAGATGACTTCAAAAGCATGGACTCAAGACTTGGCGTTTCCTTAAAAATGTCAAGTTATCATAGGAAGGAGCTTCTCGAGGAATTCCTTGATGTTCGAGATAGCCTCAAAATTTTATTTAATGCGATTATCGATGAAGTTTGGAAGCATTGCCACAAACTGAAAGATGAAGTCCATACCAAGTCGGTTGATAGGCAAACTCAGGAAGGAATAGGAAAGAGAAAAGTAAAGAAATTTGGAGGTAAAAATAAGATCATTGCCAATAAACGTGCTGTGAAGTCAAAACCTCAAACCACGAGGATAAGAAATAAGTAAAATATTTTTACTCATGAGTATAGTTCAAATAAATCAAACTGAAAGAATGGCAGGAAGCATGATATAGTTGATAAATTCAAAAGAATACGCTCTCGAAATCAAGGGTATTCAAGGAATATCATCAATAAGACTCAGAGAAATTTTGAGACTCAGCATGTCACCATAGATTTGAAAGAGATGGATAAGAGCACGCTACAATCAACTCTTTTCAAAGAGAATGAACAAAAGCAAAGCTCCACTCATCTATATAACACTCCACCTTCAACATTGCAAAACAAAAAGTTTCAGGAAGTTTCTGGGATGAGCTCTTCTACAAAAGTAAGTCAGAGGAAATTTCTGGAGGGTCAAGATACATACAAAAGGGCAGATTTAAAGATCGATGTTGAGCCGAATCACATGAAGGATTCCCCAGTCAAGCAATATATTTACAACTCCTTAAGAAGTAAAGAGGGAGTCAATCCAGAAATCTTCCAAAGAAAGAACAATGGCTTAAACACACTGGCCAGTGAGCCCTTCTTGAGAAATTTCAGCAAGGAATCTGATATGTGAGACCCCATGAGCTGAAATATTTCGGAAGAGAACTATCCTGAACAAAGAATTTCCTTTGAAGAGAAGATTAACTACTGCCATAAGTTAGCTAACGAGGGCGATGAGAGTGATAATGAAAATTTCGACATCAGACAGCAGCTTTTCAAGGCATTTGGATATAACCAAGCTGATGAAGAGTTTTATATCAGTCGTCGGAGAGGTGCTGTTGGAGATGACCATCGAGATCATAACTATAACAATAGAATTTTACATATCAGACAAGCTTGGGATCCTAATAAGCAGATTACGCCTACCTCAAGTATACGTAGCAGTGAACTCTCTAAAATGATTAAAATGGAGGATTCTGAAGTATCAAGCGACAAGAATATGCTTGATTCTTTCAAATAAACCTAAGAAGAAAGAAGAGGTAAAATCAATCAGGCCAAAAAGAAACTTAAACAAAAAAAGCAGTAGTCCCAAAGTCATGCAGAAAGTGATTTATTCCTTGCGAGGAAATCTTAGGGATAAAGAACTATATCACTCAAATTCAATGAAGAAGTTACAGAAGAAAGAAAGTTTTGATATTATCTCTAAGGCAAGAGAGGCATGTGACCAGTACTTGAAGCACCTCGACTCAAAAAGTTCTGAGAGAGAAAGTATTGAGAAGCTACTGAACTCTAATGATATTGAGGAATCTAAGCAACTGCGGACCACACCTATTAGAGGTAACCTAATACCATACCTAGGTCAGGCCAATACAATTCCAAACAGAAAAGTTAGGTATCAGGATTATCTAATGAACAACGAACCTTCTAGTTCTTCTGGAAGGAAATCCTATCTCGATTTGGACCATATTTCAGGGAGCCTCGAAGATCAGCAGGTAAGACAAGGCGAGCAAGAGCCCTAGAAATTAGCTGTGCTTTAAATTGGAACTGATTATTTTCACATCTTGAGGAACAAATCAGAAAAAGATTTAAGAGTGAAAGATCTGATTAATACATCATCAGTAGTTTAAATAAACAAGTAAAGTTCATTTTAGTTAAATAATTACGGGGTTTTGGGGTTTTGGGGTTTTGGGGTTTTGGGG